ATGGGAGAAAGCAACAGATCACTGGGGTTTGTCACAAAGCAGTCATAGAGGTCCAAGGGGTACGAGTGACCCTGCCTGTCTTTGCAGTCAAGAACTGCAGCTCCGACCTGCTCTTGGGACGAACGTGGCTGAGCCACGTGCATGCAGTGACGATAGAGCGACTTGATGGGAGCCAAACATTGTCCATTAAGAAGCCAGACGGGACGCGGGTAATGATTGAGACAGTGGAGCCTCGCGACCCGAGGAACAGAGCAGCTCTCGCTTTGGGTGCGAGACCCAGTGATCAGATTAAGTCGTTACCTATCTCCGGCCGCGCGGTGCGATTTCGCGAGAAGAAATATGGACCACTGCTCACAGAGGAAGAAGGTCGGAYCGTGGAGGTGGAAGATTTAGGGAGTCGGCTAATAGTGGACGGCAACTCGTACCCAAAGGAAAAAAATGAGGAATTTGGCGGTGTGRTATCCGTGTCTTTTTTAAGGGCACGGCCCCCTATGAGGGGCTACCCAAGCGACACAAGCGAGTTGCTCAAAAAGTTAAGCCAGCCGCGGTGGGCCGCGAGCGATCTGCACTGGAAGGGATATCGGAAGAAGAGATCGTGGAAGAAATCAAAGAAAGAAAGAGAAAGGAGCCGCAACGCCTAACGGAAGAGAGGATAGCAGGGATGGACATCGGAGATGGAAATTTGACCCCACAGGAGCGAGAACGTGTGATAGAAATCCTGAAGACATGTGATAAGGCCATAGCTTTTAGTGACGTGGAGCGCTGTAGGATTGACCCTCGATACGCTAAGCCAGCAAGGATTTACACGATACCACATGTTCCCTGGAATGACACGGGATGAAAATACGCCCAAAAGGAGAAGGAAGAAGTTATCACTTTCCTGAAGAAAAGATGGTTTCCCATGTTGCGGAGCTGTCTGATAGCGCTTATGCTAATCGATGGTTCTTCCTACGAAAGCCGAATGGCAAGATCCGATGGATCCAGGACCTTCAGAAGGTCAACGCGGTGACGATACGAGACGTGGGCTCCGTGCCACGCGCCGATTTACTGGCAGAAGGCGCCGCAGGTAGGTCGATTTATTCCGTCCGTGATCTGCTCTCAGGCTATGATGAGGTACCACTTGACCCTAGAGACAGGCACCTCACGGCTATGCATACGCCATTGGGACTAATACAGATGATGGTTGTCCCTATGGGTTGGACTAATGGGGTAGCCGTTTTTCAGAGAGCCATGGTAGCCGTCCTCAAGGACTTCATCCCTTATAAGGTTGAAGTTTTTCTGGAAGACTTTCCTATAAAAGGGCCAGTGGACAAGGATGAGACAGAGGTTATACCTGGAGTTAGAAGATTCGTCGAGCAGCACCTAACAGATATTTGCGCGGTACTCGAGCAGCTGGACGATGCGAATTTAACAGTCAGCGAAACAAAGAGCCGATGGGCCGTCTCGACTATTAAGATCTTGGGCTTTATATGTGATTCGAGACGACGCCGAGCAGATCCGACGAAGTTAGACAAACTTCTGAACTGGCCCTCACCGTTACATAGCCCAACCGAAGTCCGACAGTTTCTAGGAGTGGTCGGTTATTGGCGTATATTCATACGGGGGTATGCGGAGAAGGTTGAGCGATTGAGGTTACTCCTTCGAAAGACTGAAAACTTCTATTGGAATTCTTCGCAGCAACTTGCTATGCACGAACTTAAAGACGAATTTAAGGAAGGAGGACGCGTGTTGGGTGTGCCATTCCTTGACAATGAGACCGAAAGACCCTTCATAGTGTCCACGGATGCTGGACCATGTTCAGTGGGTGGTTTGCTGTCTCAGAAGGACGCTGGAGGGAAGGAAAGACCGTTAAGATTTGAGAGTATGACACTTAATACGGCTGAGCGTAACTACAGTCAATTCAAGAAGGAAGTGTTAGCTGTTCTCCGGTGTCTAAACACGTTCAGACACTATATCTATGGGCGACGGTTCATCTTGAGAGTAGACCCCACCGCGGTTGCCTCTGTCCTCCAGAAGGACTTTAGTCCGACGGACCTGACCATCGCCCGATGGTTAGTCCGGATTCGGCTATACGATTACACGGTTGAGAGAGTATCTGGTACGAAAAATGTCGTGGTAGATGGACTTTCACGCATCCCTCTCGAGCGTCCGATAGTAGCTGGGGCTCTGACAATGGCAGAGCTGAGGCGCGCCTAAAGATTTCTAGTTAATCTTTACGAGGGCAAGTACTGCTTGATCGGACTTCACCTGACGGAAGAGGAGACTCAAGATTCAGAAATCCGGAGGCAAGCAGCCCAGTACTGCCTTAGAGCGGGCCACCTTTTCCGAAGGCCAGTAGGGTCGGGAATGCCCTTACGAGTAGTCTGTGATCCTGAGGAGAGACAGACGATAGTTGCGGAACTTTATGACGGGGTAGTCGGAGGACACAGGAAAGTTAAAGGAACCTACGAAAAGATACGCCGGCTGTACTGGTGGGAAGGACAGTATAAGGACGTCGAGAGGTACTGTATGACATACGAAGAGTGCCAGAAGAGAGCTCTTGTGAAATACAAAGAGCCACTTCATCCATCCTATCCGACCAGATCAGGAGAGAAGGTACTCATCGATCTAGTGAAAATGCCGAGAGGGGTAGGCAATATGAATTACGTCGTGAACATACGAGACGATTTCACTGGATTCGTGGACAGTAGACCTATCAGGAGTAAGGCGGCAAAGGAAGTAAAGAACTTTGTCCTAGAGTACTTATCTAGGTATGGTTGTGTCAACAAGATAGTGATGGACAGAGGGGCGGAATTCCTAGCCGACGAGGTTCAGAGCGTGTTTAGGAGAGCCGGTGCGAGAGTTTCGATAGCCACCGCCTATCACCCACAGTCGAAATCCCCAGTAGAGAGGGGACACCAGACTCTGATAGCGTCACTGTCCAAGTGGTGCAAGGGTAAGGACAGTGATTGGCCACGATATTTTCGATACGCGATATGGGCAGACAACGTCACGGTCGGGGCTAGTACCGGATACCCACCGTACACCTTGTGGTTTGGACGACATTGTCCGCTTTCCATAGAATTTCACGTCGAGAGCTGGACAACCATCGACTGGGCAGAAGAGATGTCCAGAGAGGAACTCTTAGCTGCCCGAACGAGACAAATAGCCTACGGTTTGGAAGACGACCTGATGACAGCGGCAGATCGTCTGGTAGTGGAAAGGGAGAAGGGTAAAGAGAGATGGGATAATAACGTGCGAATCAGGAAAGAGAGGGTGAGCGTAGGAGATATGGTCCTTCTCTACGATGCAGCGCTGGAAAGGACCTGGACCGGAAAGCTTGCCAATAGATGGATGGGACCTTACAGAGTGGTTGAAGTACTTGACTGGGGTGCATATACGATAGCAGAACTAGACGGATCTAAGTGGAAGGACCCAGTGGCGGGGGCTAGGTTAAAGTTGTTTAGGCCCAGGCCCACGCTCGCTTTATTGCTAACCAACCCGAAAGGGAAAGAGAAAGCCATGATGGAGGATGGAGCGCCCTTGAGGCAATTCGAGGCAGGAGAGAGTTCCAAAAAAAGAAAAAGAATAGAGAAGAGAAAGGTCAAAGGGGTAGCTTTAGGAGAAAGAAGAGATGGTTATTCGTGCTCAAGCGAGCTAGACGGAGAGTTCG